CACACTCTGAGCTGGTGGACAGGACTTATGTCACCAGGATGGAGGGTCAAAACCAATAGCACTGGAACATGGGCAGGAGTAAAATCCCCCCAGGACACCTGTACTGAATAAACCATGGGAGACTGCTCGTGTGTGAATAAACACAGTGACTATTTAATTACCTCAATTCCTGAGAACCTAGATTTGTTTACAGAAAATGAAGGACCATTTTCCTTAGTGACATATTACAGTAGATATATTTAAAAAGCTAATTGCACTTGGGAGTTAAAGATAAATTGACATGCTCTTAAATACATACATTTCTTTTTCTTTCCTGTTCTCTAATGAGTTCATAATTTAATTGGAGAAGCTGCTAGATTCCCTCCAAATACTAGTGAAAATCTCAAAGGAGAACAAGCTGCTTATGCAAGTGTTCTTGTAAAGAGAGAGTATTCAAGTACAGTAAATAAATACTAGAAACAAGAATGGTATTCAGTTGTCTCCTTAAAAGCTTGAAGCCTACATATCTTCGCATTGATACTTTGGTTCTGAGCTCAACATTAATGAAAACATTTTCTATTATAAATAAAACTAAAGCACTTCTGTATATTACCACTTCCCTAGGGCAAAGTTCTGCTTTTGGACAAATTACAGAGGGATATTATTACAGTGTTGCCAAGTGTATGCCAGAGTAACATACGGATTGAATCCAATTAATCCATCCATAGGATGGAGCTGTAGAATAAGCCAGAGGATGAAACCTGGTACAACCCAGCCTTCACGGTGTGGCCACCCGCCGAAGGCTGCAGCGCCAACTGCTAGCTCGGGAGGGCAGATCAGCTCATCTGAAGAGGAAGGGCCCTCCCCAGCCCCAAACCCACCATAGCAGCACTGGGTGGGTCAGGGGCAGAGCTGGCAGGAGGGGTAGGCTGACTAAAAAGACAAAAAAGCCCCAACCCCCTAAGTAGAAAATTTCCTTCAGAGTAATTTATTCAGATTCTGAGATGGATTTAAATTTAGAAGAGAGAAATGTGAGAGCAAGAAACTGTTGAAACTGAGAATATTTTTCACTTGCATAGTGCGAGTGAGACATTTCTGCTGCTGCTGGAACTGCAACCATAGCTCAGACAAGGTCAGGAGACCCTGGGGCTTAAATACAGAACCTTGGAGGTGAGTAGAGTATAAAAATAAATTCCAAAGGGCTTAATAACATTGTACAGAGACTGGATATTCTGGTGTCAGAAGGAAAATGGTGTCTCTTAGATCAAAACCTAATCACGCAAAAGCAATAAGACCTTTGTTTTAGCCAGCTAGTCATTCTGTCACCCACTGGGGCAATGTTTTTTTACTAGCATCTAGACTTACAGTTACTTTACAGTGTATAAATGTCCACATCACTGACAATATAGCGTTTGAAGAAGAAATATTTTGGAATGAATGCAGTTAAACCCTTAGCAGCCTAATCCAAAATCTGCTAGGAACATTTTGCTTAACTTCAAAGGAATTATTATCAGCATTTTAGTAAACTTCTACCAAAAAAAAAAAAAAAAAAAAGTTAAAAAAGGGAGCTGTGCCTCACAGATTACTGCCAGGACTGTCCTTCACATGGAATCGAAGACAGGCAGAGCCTGCAGACAGTCCAGGCCACATCTGCAGGCAACAAAGTGAGAGAAACCTTCCTGAGGTTACCACACAGGACACCCTCCGATTCTCTGCAGCAAGGCCAGACAAGGGGAAAAATGCCTGCTCTTTCTTAGTTTCCCATCCCAGAAGACTTTATTTATGCATTAGTTGACCTTTCTAGCCATTAGGACCATCTTGCTTCAGCAGTTAATTAACACAAGTGCCATAATTTAATACAGTTAATGCTACTTGATGCCCTTTAATGTACCTTCCATTAGTGATATTATTGTAGTATTACCCTGTAAATTAAAATGAGATCAAGACTAAGAGAGGCTCTCTTTAATTAAGGTACTGGCACACTACATCGTCCATTATTCACTAGAAAAAAACACTCTGATTTAGTGAAGCAGACCATCAGTAAGTCAGAATTAGTTCACGTGGATTATTAGGTTTCTTGAATAATGTGAGCACAAACACCCACATTCGTTTTTTTTTTTTTTTATCATCTTAACAAATACACAATGGAAGTAGTAAATTGAAGATGAATAAACAGGTGGTAATAGAGGAGGTAAGGCGTTCATTGAGAGTACACAGGTTTTCATCCCTAATGCAACATACTTTAGGCTTATTTCACACTAAAATGCAAAGCAGTGAAAAAACAAACCCTATATTAAGAGGGCAGATCTCCTATGTATAATTAACTGTGAAGTATTAACCACCCCGGTATATTAAATATGGCAGCTCTAAGATGGATGCTTGTCACTGTCATTGATTCTTAAAATACAGTATGAAACAAATTGCATTTTATGCTGCCTTTAGAAATGTGCTATTATGAGCTTTGGTGATTTTAACTATATTTAACCTACAGGTTATTTTTTTTCTTCAGTAAAAGGACTAACTTTAAAATGTGTCTGCTAGCATCACTCACCCACCACGTCAAGCTCCTTGGTAACATCCCTTTGTATCCCATCCTCATGGAACAGTCTAGTCTAGCTTCACCAAATGTATATAAATATCTAAGTCTCAAAAGCCCAGAATATGAAACATTGTAGCAAAAATAAAATAGTAAGTTAATTTCCAGTTAATATCCTAAATAAATGTGCAGGGGCTGGAAAGGTCAGCTGAATCAGAAACAGCGGCACAAACGCCTGGTAACCCTTGCTCCCCTCCTTTGTGCTCCCACGCTGAAGGCACGCCAGGGCACGTGCCTGTAATGCCGATTTGGAGATCATTCAGGGAAAGCCCTATAAGGTTTCTCCTAGGACACAAAAAATACCTAAATCCGGGTGACAGTGGGCCTATTTCAGGTTACCGTTGGTGCGACTAAGTAATCAGGGGCCGCATACTGCACCCCACAGCTACTTAGCAATAAGCAAGCCCATAAATTCTTTAACAAGGAGGGCTCACTACATATTGCAGAAAAGGCCACCAGATCCCTGAAGAGCTGTTCTTCTCATTAGCAGAGAAATTCCCATGAATCTAATCTAGTGAGGTACTAATACACATCAGATATTTCTTTTAAAGCACGTATCCAATTACTACAGCATTTAGACAACAAGCATCAGCATCAGATAAGTTCTCTGTACAATCACGCTGCATTTCTATAGATAATTTTTCACAAGATTTCCATGACCCAGATGTGCTTGGAAGGTTTCTGTTTCTAATTTGCATGCAATGAATTTTTTTTTAATCCTTCAGATGCTTTCTCTGATAACGTCCTGACAGTCTAATTGAAGTCAGACTAAGCTCCAAACGGGTTTTCAGATGGGGAGCAGCTTTTCCTTAAAACGTGTGGACCTTCAAATCCTGAGCTTTGATATGACCCCTCTGTAGAGCCCAATGGAGAAAGGATACACATTAAATAGAACATACATGTTATTTTTTTATATGCTGAGGATAATGTTACTAGATTATTTCAAACAGCATCTTAAGCTGCCCCTGATCTACTTAGCCCTCTCAAGAGACAAGGGAACTAATGAGAGTTACAATAAGAATTCTTAAACCAGCAACATTTATCTTATACTGTCACACATTCAATTAGTGATTCTGGATGTATAGGGTGTGGACACAGAAGACCGTAACGACATGTTAACTCTACAGTCCTAAGAAATACATTTTGCTGAAATATAGAAATATACTGGCACTGCAAAAGCTCTTAAGCATTCAAATCTGCATGTGGCATCCTTTATATAAAGTTAGAGGAATACTTTTCAATAGATTACATCACTGTAATTTGATTCTATTTTGATTTTATGCATCAATTTTTGCAATATGGAAATGCTTATGAACATGAAAGGCTCATATAAAAGAGGTAGAAAATGGCAAACTTGCTACAAGAGTAATAAAAATGTAGTTACCAGTGTTTTGTATATTACTGTCTGTATTTTTTTTCACTCAGTCCTATGCCTACAAAAAGTGCCCTGGCCTTCCAAGATACATTAGTTTTTCTGTTCATTTTGATACTTAGCTTTTCTTAAAAAACAAAACAAAACAAAAACCCCCTCTCCCCCATGTTTTTAATAAGGAAGATTTGAAGTCTCTATAGAAGAAACAGAGAAGAAGGAAAAGGTACGTTACAGAGGTGAGTGGATTGCTAACAGAGAAGGTCCCATTTATTTCTTCTGAACAAATTAGCATCCAAGATGCATGTAAAGGGTATCACCCTCCTGCTTGAGGTCATCAGTCAATTGCTAGTTTGAGTTGGGAAGAAAATTTCCCAGTAGGAATGTCATTGCACAGTTATTATTTTTGGGGCTACAGCACCTGATACCAGCCACTGCTTGCACCAGAGGGAGTATCTGTCTTGAACCCAGCTGAGTAATCATCTTTGTTATATTCAAATCAGTCTCTCTAAAACACTGTTAGTTTTTTCCATTTTACTTCAGCTTCACTGCATTTCAGAGCTAATTAAAGTACAAGGACTAGACTCTAATTTCTGCTGCCTTCCTTGTTCACAGGCATAGCTGGACCTGGTGGGAAGGGTCCTCACAAGGGCTGCTGTATCAATCACAGCTTACATTAAAGGCCTGAACAAGTCAAATGATAAAACAGAATCTCTCTTTTTAGTTAACTGCCATCAGATCAGGCTTCAGCTGCATAAAAGCAGAAAGTGTCCTAATGCCAGGGTAAATTCCTGAACCAGCGTAAGAAACTGTTAATACTATGCTGCCCGTGAGACCTAGGTCTCAAGATCCCAGGCTAGTTAACAGCGAACACCCGGGAATTTGTGCCACTGAATCAGAAACTTCCAGTGCGACCAGAAACAGATTTCAGCTGAGACAGATTTCCAATGAACGTGTCTCAGCAGAAAATGTCATCATGTTTGGGGAAATAAATGGTTTTGAATAACCTCTAAAACCAAACACACATGCTGTTTCTAAAGGTATATATTCTCTTACCTTCCATATACCCTTATGTCTGAAATTGCATAAAAGTAGCGTGCCAGGTGTTGCTCATCTACATATATTTCCCCAGTTGCTGGCCTAAGCAGTCTTATCCTCAGATCTGTGATGGTAAAGAAATCTCTTAACTTCTTGGTTGTGTCAAGCTGGCCATAAAGAGAAGCCATGTTATGAAGCCGAGGTCCAGCAAAAAAAGCAAATCTATCTTTGATTTCAAAGTGGATTATTTTACTATTTGTCATGTACCCAGTAGAATACTCCTCCGTGCAAATGATTTCTAGGACTGTGTGCTGTGATAAATCCCTCACTGATTTTGGATCCATGTGGAAAGCATCTAAGCAGTCTGTGGCATAGTATTGATAGGGCTGCCATGTTCGTCCATAGTCAAGTGATTTCTCCAGGATCATTTGGTCTGGACGGCCAGATTCAAAAGTGATAACTATGTTATCTGTCAGCTCAATGGTTTTGTTCCAGGAGAGTGTAATATTAACATGAAGAGGCTTTGGATAATCCTTCCAAGTCGTGGACTGCCAAAATGTGGAGGGATGTCTTCCTTCAAGATCGAACATCAGTTCCGGAGGATGAGCCAGTTCTTGGGTACTCGCATCACATTCATTATTGCACATATAGGGATTCCCCTGGAAAAGAGCAAAGTGGTGTTACAAGAGGCATGGTATAGGACACTGTGACACATAGAGATGTTTATTGTCTGGCACATGAGAACTGCTTCTTTTCCTCCAGAATTGAAACCACGAAAGAAAACACAAATGCTTGCAAGGAATACCTTTATCTTAATGAGATTTATTCTGGCTATTCTACCTGTTGAAGTAAATGTACAAACACATATACAGCACCCTTGCTTTTATAACATAAACATTTTTCTTGGTATGTTTTAGAGAAAAAATTTACCCTGAATAACTCAGACCAGCAACTGAGTCACAGAAAACTAAGAACAGTAAGCAAGTCTCTAATAGCCCAGTAACTCTGACTGTTCCTAGAAAGATGCAGCAGCCGTCATACTTTTTAAAACAAGTATGTTCCTCAAGAGCTCCATTCACAAAATAAGTAATTTTTCTGGTAAGTGTTCTGAGGTCAGCAGTGCAGCCCATATGTTCTTGGTATGGACCAGTACACCTCCAAGCTTCCTTTCTCCCAGGCATTAAATTTATCATGCGTAATTGCGCTCCCAGGTTAGTACTGGCTTCCCTTAAAATATTTACACTTGCCACCAGAAGCCATTAGAAAAACAGTGCTCTGCCAGCTCTGGGGCTTGATTCAGACATCTGCCATCTTATTACAGGGTAGCGAAGTACTTCAGGAAAAACTTTTCATGAGGCACTAGCTCCAATTTATCAGGACAAGATAATCCAGCACTTGATTAGGTGGGAGATGTCAGCAGCTCCAGCTGGAACATTGCCGAGGTGGCTGGAGGTCTGAACTGGGGCTTGAGTTAAAAACAGCAACAAAAAAAGCTTGCCAATAGTGCACAGCTTTTACTGCTGCTTGTCCTCTGTAGCAAGGTGAAAGTGAATTATTCTCTTCTGCTCTTTTGATGCATTAACTTGCACACTACAATCTTCTGCTTCTCCTCAAAGGCTATTTTGTCTGCAGATTGGGGATCTCTTGCAGCAGTTGCCAAGCTATCAGATCCCGTAGGCTGCACTGAATCACGTCTATCTAATTTCAGGTTTCAACAGTACGTTAATGTTTTGCTACTCGTTCATTCTGCATTTGTTCCAGAGAGCAACCGCTGCTCTGTATCCTTCCCTCCACCTTACATATAGACTGTGGAAGAAGCCATGCCTCTTTGCACTGATGGGCAGCACTGCTGGGGAAAAAGATGCGTGTGCCCAAACCTGGCAGTGCTTGATAGGAGCGTAAGTGTAGCTGTTATCGTCATTAATCAGAGTTCCCCTCACCTACCCTGAAAACAGAACAAGCCCTGGTATGATAATCAACCTTTGCTTTTCTTATAATTAGAGTTACGCTTCTCTCCAGCTCAAAGCATCAGGGCAATGAAGCAACTCAATGCCATTCAATGTGGGAAAGGGGTTTCAAACATGAGTTTCCACCTTGGCCACTGCTCTGCTCCTTGACATGCTCCCACGAAACACAAGCAAAAGGCCTTCAGAACTCACCTTGACCTCCCCACTGGCAACCTCCTCTCACCTGGGCAGGAAAATACTGTTTTCTTTCTCTCTCTCTTTCCCATTAACACAGCTGAATGCTAAAACTGACAATGATTCACTGAGACTCAAAGTTAGGAAAAAAAACCCACAAGACAACAAAAAGGGTTCTTTCAAAAGCAGCACACTGCTTGTTACACTGATAGCTTCAAAGCATGCAGCTGTAACTGAAAATACTCCGTAAAACGTGTCTATAATAAGTCCCTGATACAGCTCTGATTTCAAGCTCATGGTTGCTATTTCTATGCCTTCCTTTTGAATAAAACAGTGAAAATCAAAAATAAGTTTCAAGCAGAACAGTGAAAACATCGAATTTTTTATTATTTAAGCTCCATTTAATATATCAGAGACAAAGGCCAGGATCTGCTAACTTAGGCCTTTTCTTTGCCGTAGGGAAAATACATATCGTGTGGAATCTGTAAGGTTCCAGACCCTTTCTCTATATGTAAATATCAATTTTTCAGAAAATGCTCAGAGTTGAGTAAATCACACCTTTCTGAGGTTTACTAGAAAAATCTGGTTACTTCTGTGCCTGTCACCATGAAGCTGCCTGTGTACATATAATGTATATGCTTCTGTCATCGCTTTGGTAAAAGCAGCTTCACTGGCAGGTCATGGGTATCGAAATGCAGCAAATAAATGTTCCTGGGTAGCCAGACAGGTGCATTAAGCACTGCTGAGGGATGGCTTTTGTTTCCTGCTCCACAAGCAACCCCTGAGTCTGTTGCGATTCTTCATGTTAAAAAGTAAAGCCGCTCTGATCTGCTAGTCTCTAAATGCTGGAAGAGGCATGTTTTATGACTTCCAGCAGGTAACCCAGATTGTGTGGGATGTATTGTTTCCTTCTGTATATAAGAGCTGATTTCTTTTGTTCCCCTTTTCTTTCACCTTTTCCTTTTCAGCAAAAGCTGAGGTGCCAATATAATCAGAGAACAGAGGGAGCCGAGGCTCTAACAAAACACAAGCTAGTGTGAACACAGTGAGATCAGGAGAGCTGGTAGCAATAAGGTACATAAAGAATGGTGCAGTGAATGCTAAAACTCAGCCCTAGCTTGCTACTGAATGGTAGTCTACATCTCTGTGGGAACAAAGCTTTTTGGGAAAGATTTCAACTAATGGCAGAGTATAGCGAGAAATGGGTCAGAATCATAGGGATGTCCTTCACCTGAAACTCTCACCAGTGGTCACATCAGAGGCAAAACTCGTCACAGAAACCATGGGGTAAGGATGTCACTGCACATGAGAATCCTAATAAAAAGCTTCAGGCATATCCTCCCCCATAAAGTGAATTACTCTTTTAATTTTGTAGTGCACAATTCTCTTCTAAGAGGTGAATGATTTGACGACACCAAAATAACCTGTATGGAGTTGAGTATTCCAGAGAGGAAATTAGGAGAAAAATATCTACGCCAATACAAGCTGATAAAACAAACGTCCTGAATTCTAACACAAGGAGGGGGAGAGAAATGACAAGTTTAGGTAAGTTCCTCTCTGCCTACTGACATGGCAGTCACTGATGTAATTTTGAAACATTTAATATGATTATTGCTTCAGAGGCTTGGAGTCAGATTCCCATTTTCTCTACCAGCAACTTGGCTTTAAACTGATTCTAATTAATCTTAAACGTAATTTGCATGTTAAGTCATACATACATTATCAAAACAGTGTAAAAGGGGTCTTACCCTACATGAACGTCCTTTAGTACGTGTTATATGAAAATAATTAATTTAACTGGGATTAGTTACATATTTTAATGTCTTGATCTTTGTGATAATCTCTTTAAGACCTCTGTCTCAGCAAAATTAATACAATAAAGAGAAACTTTCCCCAGTTTATGAAAACTAAGCCCATTCTGTGTTGGAAACATCTAAAAGACCGGAGTATTAGCAGCTGTAAGTAATTTTGTGACCAGCAGGCAGCTGTAGATAGATCTTCAGTTAAGCTTTCCAAGCAGCAGCTCTTCTGCTGGACAAGGTGGAAAATATTTATAACTTTGAAAAGTTATATTTAAGCCATTAGGAGATTTCTAAATAATTAAACAGTAATAAATACTTCTAAACACTTTGCTGTTAATTAGCATAAAAGGTAGCTGAGGCTTTCCCAACACCACGACCTTCTAAAAGAAACCCACGATTTTCCTGTACAGCAATTGGAGATTGATATTAAATGTCTCCTTGCAGGCAGGCAAATTAAGTTACTATTTATTTAGTTTTAGGCCACTCATGAAATTAAAAATATTACCAAAACTACCTACATAGTCTAAAAGTTTTGGCTTTAGGGAGAGGTACCATTTTTTAGACATGGCGAGGGCATGCAGCTGTATCACGCAGTGTGATCACGCTCAGCTTCGGCTGGAAAAAGCAGAGCTACCTGAGAAGCTGCTGACTAGGGCTGACTGGTCCCAGTAGGGTTTCTCCTCAATTAGCTGGATTTAGTTTGTTTTAGCACACAGTGTTGTCTGTTTGTGCCAGCCAGCTTGAACTTTTATAGTGGTGTCTGAGGTGGTCTGCAAGTGTCCCTGCCTGGGATGGGACACTGGGGCTGGCCTTGTGCCCACTGGGCAGGAGAGTGTCTTATCAAGTGCATCTTCAGGAACAACATGGTGATGGACAGGACAGTGACCCTAGAGAGAGGATTTGGTTAAAAACAGAGGTCTAGCAGTACTATGACCTTTGAACGTCAGCTGGGGAGCCCGCAGTGGTGCCACAGCTGCTGTTTGAGGCTTAAAGTCTGAGCGCTGCTGCTCTGGCGAAGCCACCCGTCTCTCATCAGGACAACTCCTCAGTGGCATCCACACAGGCTTAGGGCTTGATTGAAGATGTTGCTTCTTTCAATCTGTTTGCTGTCCACACTAACACCTCATGGACTTTTTTAACTCAGGAATAAAGACAGGGGGGCTTAACCTTTCTGCAGCATGAATATTGGAAGCTGTATCACAGATTACATGCTGTAATAGACACCTGGCTAAATCCCTACAGAGGATTATAACTTGCGTTTTCAAACTGGTGAAGGCTACTGAGGTTAAGCAGGCCAAGATTTTAAGAAGCAAAACAAATGTTCAAGAAGTGAGTCACAGCAACCAATTTTTATACCTCTGCCTCAAAGTAGTTAGCTCAGATGCACAAGACAAGAAATAAATACAGACTCATGTTTGGATTGAGGTTGTGCAGTATATTACCACATTCAAACCACACTTTTGGAAATACTGGAGTATTTCTGTTTTCCTTTCCAAGTGATTATTACATGTAGTTTGCTTGGTACTGTGCTGTACATTGTAGATGACTAATTAGACAGTAATAGCTAATACCAGCAATTGCCCTAATGCTTACATTTTGCATGTGGTTTCTAACCAGGAATTACTTGTTTACCATGACAGAGCCAGATTACGAAACCACTAATTGGGAGATACTGCTCATTAGGCATTGTCTTACTAAGGGCAAGCAGTCGGTGTGGTGGAAGATTGGCAAGGCACAGAATCTGTCGCACAATAATTGATGTTATCAAACTCACTACATCCATTAGCTGGTCTGAGAGCATCTCGGTCAATGTCTGCAGAATTATTGTTGTGATGAAGAGAAGGATTGCTGTAGACAAGAACATTTTACCATCAATAGCCTTTCATCACTGCAGTGACAGCATTTTAAGTTAAAAATGATTTAAGTTAAGAAAGAAAAAGTGCTAAAATCTCAGTGGAAGATTTGACACTCTAGCTCCCAAGAGAGAGGCATCTGGATGGCCAGACAAGCCCTTTGAACTCTGAGCTGCAGGCTAAACAAGATACATTCCCCAAAACCAGCAAAAAGGAAATAAAAGCATGTTTAAATCAATAACTTCTGGGGATACTTAAAAAGACTGAACCAGGGAGGATCTGACTGGCCAAAAATAAATAATAATGCTTAACAACTTCATGCACTTTTAAGCTTGAAAGTACATTGCAGATTATGGCCCTGATCCTGCAACAAGTTGGATGCAAGCATGCCCTTAAAATTCATATTTTTAAAGATAGTTAAGCCTCTAAAGGTCTGGCACTTTGCCTTGTGGAACATAAAGAAGGCTAATTAATCTTCATGACACCTCCGTGAGGTATGGGATCCTATCCCAAATGTACATATAGATGCAGAATTAGAGAGAAATGGTTTTGCATTATGAACTCTGTATTCCCTGATTATAGTGTACTGTTTCCTCCAAAGCTACTTGGTAGATCACGTGAAGGTATTCTTGGCAGCTAGAATAGCTCTCAGATTATTAGAACGTGACTCTTTCCAACACTATGAACTGGAAATGTGTCGTAGGAAAACATTTTAATATTTGCAGCATCAAATGCATTGGTGCATTTGTCAAAAGCACTTAATTCCTAGCAGAACATTCTCTCTTTTTAGTTACTTTAGTTACTTTTTGGAAATGCTTTTCAATCTACTTTATGAAGTAAATGGAGTGTTGTTTCCTCTGAAATATCTCTACCCACTTTTGGGGGGGAAAAGCCTGCTTATTCCTAGTTGGTAATTTTATGCTTCTGAGGCCATCTTTGATTTGGCAACCTTGCTGATGTTATTTTGACCACTTGATCATTCTGGCATTAACAGTTCCTTAAGGCAGATCTATTGGCATTGACCCAAGAGTGGTTTTGTTATTTCAGAAGCTCAGTATTGGTGTTTTCCTCTTGTATCAGCAGGTATCTGGCAATATAATCACTCTCCTATTTATAGCTTTTGCAGTGGTATGAGGTGCATAACACTGGGACCCCATCATGCTTGAGCTCTGGCAGAACAATAGAGCAAATGTTCCAAGAAAACCTGGGGAGGTCAGCCCGTCCATAAGAGCCCTCCTTGGACAAGGGAGCAGAGGGTATTGATCTCCAGCGTTGTTCTGAGCTCATGTCAGTGCATTTTTGTCTGAGCTGCTTTTCCAGCCATCCTGCCCTGCAGGAGCTCGAGCAAGGAAGTCGTGCAGGAGATACAGGGGGTCTCCTCAACTGGGAATAGCTTCTACTGTCAATAACAACAACCTCGAGTGTCTCTGCCTTATATTTTGTGGTCTGATACAGATCTCATCTTACTCTCTGATTATTTATCCATTAATTTAGAATGGGAGCCTTTGGCGGAGAGGGGTAGAAAAAAGGAGCTGTGTCAACCACTGCAGCTGAGAGGTGTCATCCTTGGGCAAAGGAGAGCCAACACAAAGGCAAGTTGGTCTGTTATCACAGACAGATGGTCTCAGTTATTGCAGCAATGACAGAGGGAACACGAGCATCAAAAAACTGAGAAATCAAATCACCTTGGTGGTGACAGGGGGAATCAGGCTGCTGGGAACACTAAAAAAAAAAAAAAAAAAAAATTTTTTTTTTTTTTTTGTTATAAGTTACTGTGTTCAGATTTTTGGTCCACAAACAAAATCTGTGGATAACAAAAAGTCTGAGAAACATGTTCTGAGAGCAGGGAGGGCCCCACAGGCCTTAACAACCCTGACCAGACCCTCCTGGGGCCCTGGCCACCCCCCTGTAATAAGCTCAGGCTGGGGCCTGCCTCTGGCCTTTTGTCCTGGGTGGGCCTCAGTAAGTGCAGCAGGTCTGTCTCCTGCTGCTTCTGCTGGGGCTCCTTTGTGACCCTGCTCCTATCGCCTGCTGTCCCCAGGGCTGCCGAGGGACTGTCCGTGGCTCCTGGCTGTGCCCAGGCTGTGTGGGATGGTGCCTGTTGGTGAGGTCACAGCTGGTGCTGGGGCAGTTCTCTGCTCCCCCGGGTGCCACCGTGTTGGGTGACTCTGCTCCTGCTGCTCCCTGGCACTGGCTGAGGGACATGCAGTGAGCGGGGAGATGGACACAATGGAAATGCAAAGCTCCACAGCTTGCTCTGGGCAACAGCAGAGCAGATTTATATCAGCTGAGTATGAAATCATATAATGGGATCTCAAATCATGGGAGCATGGAAATTTTATGTTGGGAAAAATTTAAGGAAGACTCATGGTGTGAAGAAACTGTAATCGAAGTCTGGGTGGGCTCCTGTAGCATGCTGCTGAGGAAGGACCCCCAAACCCTCCTATGCAGGACAGGGTGATCACCCTGAGCCACGCTGGGCTGCTGCTTCCTCTCGGGGGGTGAGATGTGTGCGAGTAGCAGGAGGTTCTCTTCTAATAGATAACATAACTGGATAAATAAGTAAATGTAACTAGTCCTATGTTTTTATTTCACACAGGCAAACTGAAGAAATGAGCCTTGCAACCAGTGGTGGAGGCAGGTGGGATGTGATGGTTGTGGCTTCTGCAGGAGGTTGTTCTGAGCTTTCCAGATGGTTCCCAAGGAAGCTCCATCTTCTGCACCTCTGTCCCCTACTCCTGCAGTTAGGGCGTTCTTGTCCTCCTGGAGGACAGCTCTTGAGTTACATCTGTGGAGGCTCACGCCTGTTGATGCTGTGAGTCCTGGCAATTGAGTATCTTCAGATAGAGGGCAAGATTTTCAACTTGATTTCTGTGTAAAACAACTTAAGTGGGCAGAAGAGAGCACTGATGTGGTGTTTAACTTACGAGCTCCAGTAGTGTTCAGTGCAACCCTACCCTGTGCTAATTTCAGTTACCTGGACAGCTCTTTATGTAGGCCATGCCTCACAACCCTAAAAAGCAGTCACAGTCATGCACATACTAACTCCCACATGAGGTTAGAAATGAGCAGTGCAGAAACAATTAAAAACTCTGGAGTTTTTGAAAAATTAACGTACAGTTTTGTAAAGTCTTAAATGGTATACCTATATCTCTCTGTTAGAGGAGAGAACTGTCATGACTTTTGTGTTTATATTTTAAAGGGTGTTACAGTGAAAACTTTTTCACTGAGCTCTTACTGGTTAGTTATATATCTTATTATAGTAACATTTTTGGATATAATAGGATGGGCTTACACTGCAGTTTAAAAACCTTGTGTCCTTAATAAATCTGGGCTAAAACTCCATCATCAAATGCCACTTAAATAGTTTAATGATAATGTTGAATGTATTGTTTACTTATTGAGAAAGATGCACAAAAAGATCCAATTTTTTTTTTCTTCTCTTTGCCATGGTATTTTTCAGCCTGGAAGGTTTCTAAAACACTATGTAACTCATTTACATAGCTTCAAGAATTATTGGGCTGTTCACCAAAGCAGACTGTTGTAGCCTTTTAATAGCATACAGCTGTTCTACAGTGTCCAACTATTTAGAGTGGAATTGAAGACTGCTGTATTTGACTTAAACTTCAAAAGTATTTTACATAAGCACAATACAAAAATGTATAGTGCAAAATAACAAATTCCCAAACAATAAAGACTTTTTTTTTGGTCTACTCCTGCTGTATCAAAGTATAGAGCAATAAGAAAAGTCCACACTAGTACAGGCAGTTACTATAAAGCAAATAATATGAAGAAAAGCCTTTTTAAAATTACTCCACTTAACTTCCATATTACTGGCTAAATTACATCCACTTAACCTCCATATTACTGTCTTCTGTGCAGGATCAAACTAGGTAGTGAAAGTCTGAAATGCTAGTGACCCACCAGGAGTATGTAAAAATGACTTCAACACTTACCCATGTGGTTCATACAACAGATCAAGCTACCTGTTTAGCTTGGCTGACTGAACGACATGATAGGTAATATGCTTTATAATTAGGGCTTAATAATTTGGCAATTTTCAGATTCAGCGAAGCTCAAATTATGGTTACAGAGCAGTATCATACAGTTTCAAATGGTCAGTTTGAAGGCCACATTTGTAAGGGTGGTGTAAGGCTGCATGTACACAGACATGCATGGAGGGGTCCCATGCTGCCGTGGCCTCGCAGCTGCCTGCTTGCCTGCAGCCTTACCTTTTCCTTGTGGCACAGTAAAACAGACCAAGGGCTTCCAGTTACTCATGCTAATTTTACGCAAAATTAGAATAAGGCTACTCTTTAAAATATCAGAAACTTAACTTTTCTGGGTTTGGAGGGGGGCCTTGAAAAAAAATGAAAAAAATTTTAAAATCCCATTGTACCACTTCTCTCTATAGTCCAACAACTTCCAGTGGACACACTGGAAAATCTATTTCCTTCAGAGCTGCACCTTTGCTGTGGGCTCAGCCCTGCTTCAAGCAAACATCAGCTGTCAAGCAAGTATCAGCGTGCTCAGCCCTCTCCCTGTTCGCCTCCCCCTGCACTCCTGCTGAGGAGCTGACGGCCTCCAAGCTGGCAGCTTCCCTCTAAGGACAAACTTCCTGCAAACCTGGGAGATCCCACCTTTATGCCTAGCAATTATACAGCTGCGTGGTGAGCTGGAGATTGAGGGTTGATGTGTCTGTAAAGCAAATACTTTTTTTCCCCAGTCTTAGCTTTCCACTGAATCAAGTCGGTGATCTGATGTACTGCTTGGCCAGCTGAGTGCTGATACTGCCAGAAGGGATGCAGCAGCTGGGGACTGAAGTGGAGTGGTGCAGATAGATTGACTGGCTTAAGGGAAACATGAAAAGGCACCCTAAATTGTGAGCAAAGAGCTAAATTATGCCTGTGCTGTCATACTCGTGCTTATCTGTTAAAAGGTCATTTAT